TATTGCCGTGCTATTGGCAAGCCATACCCTTCGCCTCACTTCGATTTGATCTTCAGCATACCTTCCCATCTTTTCAAGCTGCATCGACTCCTCGCTTATTTTACACATTGCCTCGTACATTGTGCCCCAAATTCTACGCACGACACGAAGCTCTCGTCTGAGTGCCTCCTTTTCACCCTCTAATGCTTGGACAGTAGATGACTGTTGGTTACGGACTTCGTCAGACACTAGGCGAAGAAGGCTTTCTAGCTCGAAGGATTCCGAGACGGGCCCCGAATCTGTGTATCGCGAATAAAAGCTTGATGTAGGTCTCTGATTGGTGACGACATGGCTTTGGCTGTGGTGTGGAAGACCACGCAACGAGTCGTGAGCCCGTAGCATTCCTAGCTGTTATTGAACACAAAACTCGGTAACTTGAGAGTACAGATCGTAAAGTCCATACCGTTGAGGTTTTCCGGCAAGACTTGTTGTAATGTACTGCAATGGTGCAGTAAGAAACGTACGCTAACGAAAGCAGTCTCGTTGCTACACGACTATGCAGTGGTATAATGTCGGCAAAAGGTACGTAATCGACGTGAATATATAAAGCAATGTACAGTGCATACCAATGAAACGCGAAATAAGCCATAACAGCACCCACGCGTTGCTAAATCCAGAAATGGCTCTCCGCACGGACGATATCAAAAGGTCAATGGATGCCCCCTTTTCTGCATGAGGATATTGTGCACGAATATTGGGATATCCAGCCGTCCTATGAACGAGTTTAACAATTTCGAGGAGATCTCCCTTCAGCCCCTTTCATGCAATACCTTTGCTATGGTGCAGCAAATCTTCAGAACAATTCAAAAACGTTATCCAAAATGGGGCCCTGGATGTCCCATAACGCCGGTCCAAGCCTATTGGGTGAGCTACGCAGAGGATCGTGCGCTTTCCAATTTCTCCTTGATCGCGGAGCTTGATGGGCAGTTGGATGAGACAATCATCTCTAAATACTTAGAAATGCTGCGGTCTTTGGACGGTTCTATACATATCGATCATCCTCGTGCACTCCAACAAGATACCAGCATAATACTCAACGAGGGCGGGGATCTCCCTACAGTCATTCCGATGCATCTTGAAGATCATTGGGCTTTCGCTGCGGTGTACGCCGACTGCATTCACTACTACGATAGCAGCGAGAATAGCGAGGTCGCGCTCGCGACTAAATAGTTCCAGGCCCATCGTCGTAGGCTGGACGGGTCCAAAGCAATCTATCCCGGAAGACTCGGGCGTTTTTATGTTAATCGGTATCCGTTGCCTTGTGCAAGGGTATCCCCACGTGGACCAAGAAAAGCCGATGCCCTAGTGCCTACGTTTCGCGTTCGAATGCTTGTGGAGATTTGCTGTCGGCGAATCGACCCAGACGAAGGACAGTTCGAAGAACTTCTTGAGCGAAGGAGGTCTCTTGAGAATCGCGATGAATCTTCACACGAAACCGATGTCTTGGCTGATGCTGGCCCTTCCACATATGCGTCTCGTCATTCTACGCGAGCGTCGATAACTCCCACCGTCTCGCCCAATCGACAGTCACACGAGTCATCGGCCTGTTCAGGTCCAAGCTCTTCCAGCCAATTGCCCAAGGGTTTAACAGCAGGGAGCTCCCGTGGCTTAGCTTCATTAGATGATCGCAGGCTGATACTGCGTCATCTGAGCGATGCTGTCTTAACGAATCGATCTGTGCGAACAACAATGACGATTGACTTGGCCACGCTTTGGCAAGTCGTAAAAAGAGGCTCGATCAAGAGCGCGTTCTACCAGAGATACTACGCAGTGTTATTCAGTGAGAAGATGGGGGAATTGCGCGACCAAACGCAGCAGGAGATGGGAGACCGGATCGGATTTTATCGACTTAACCCTCGGCGCTTGCAAGAAATGAAGTCAAAACAAAGGGAATGCCGTTTTTGGGATAATGTGTGTGATCTGCGGCGCGAATGGGGCGATACCAGATACGTTTTGCTTTGTGCAGTTTCAAACCACCAAAGTCGGGACCGCCAAAAGACCTTGGCCGAGCTACAATCGAGGCTCCAAGACAAAGATGACGAGTTGGAAAGCACGTTAAACCAGGCCCGTGCTCTTTGTGGGGCAATCATTCAGGACAGTCTCCTGCACAGCGTCTGATGGTTGACAACTATCAATATAACGATACAAAGGAAATAGACAGCGATCTTTATGGGGCATTCGTCAGCCTCAACCCTCGAGCGAGACTGCCGCTAATGCCGATTGAGAGAAACTGACTCGGGACAATCTATCGGCGACGACGCTGCGAAACCCAACACAAATCCTCTAGTCCTCAAGGTTAATGTGAAGGACGACAATATGAAACCTTAGATCACGCAGCCCTTGCTAAGCTGAGGCAGGGACGGTGGGATTAGAACACGATCCATCTCTACTTTTAACAACCATCCTTCCATTAAAGCGCACAAGCATCAACCATCTCATACTAAGCGGCATGGCCGCGATGGCTGTATCCGCCTTGTACTTTACTTTACTCGTCTTCTTATCCCGATAATTTGTTACGTCTGGTCCTATTTTCCTCTGTCTATCCAACCGTGCTGTACCCTATACAACAGTTCAACTTAAGTTAAGTTTGTTCAATAAGGGACAACAAGACATGACAATTTCATCACCAAAGCATGTGCCCTAATGTATGATAAAACCCGCGCAATGGACCAGCCCTTTAAATTTACCTTCCTAGCCATCTATATATGGCCTTTTCCTTTGCATGCGAACCTAGCTACCGGCTTGTACGAAGTCGGTCCCCATGATCAGGTGCGTAATCTGTCGCGAAGCACGTCTGAGATCTTGAGCTCGGGGTGACCATAAGGGGTAGGTATACAGCTAAGGGCCCCGACAGGCTAGACAGAAAGGCAGCCTGCAGAGAGTTCTGAGGCTGCAGAAGACTATTAGGAGACCGCATTAGGCAGCCACATAGGCTGTAGAGAGACTGCATTTACGGGGGAAGCTGAAAGAGCCCTCGGCGACTAGGGAAAGTCAGTATGCAAAGGGAGGGCTGGGGAAAGGATCCCAGCCCCCTAGATATTGTGCCTATACAACTGAAAAGGGGATATCAATAGGGAACCAAGGGATATAAATAGAGAGCCTAGAAGAGGGCATTGCAAGAGGACAGACGCAACGGAATACAACAGAACACACCTATTATTAAAACAATCAATGCCCACTTGCATGCTCTCTTCGTGAGATAATCACTTAATGACACCCTCATTCACCGTCTACAAGACCTTCCCATAATTAGACGGAGAAGCTAGGGGAGCTTCGGCCTGCGCACCTGTTGCTCGCCTCGTTAAATATAGTCGGCCTAGATTAATAGTGGTCCGAGAGCGAGCAAGCTAGATAGCGATGTATCCCACAATTTCTCAATGAACGTCGAAGAGTATCTAGTCTTCTGCTTCGAACAGCCGCTGCTCACTTTCTATCCTCTGCTGTGCCTCAGCTCTTTCAACGCATTCCCGGTCAATTTGGCTTTGCGATTGAGCCATGTTCTTCCATTCTTGAGGCTGATGATCTTCAGTCACCTGCTGTTCGAGAGACTGGATATGGCGTCTCCTGAACTGCTCATAGGCCGACAGCTTCCGGATACTAAGCTCCAGGTCCGCAAGTGCTTGACGTTTCTCTTTCTCCAGTTCTGTTATGAGCAAGAGGGACTCGAGCTTTTCTATAATTCTGATATCCTCAACTACAGGCTCGGCTGAGCCCTTAGCCATTCGCCCAATTAGATGCTGGAGGGCTTCCTCCTGTATTCCTAAGACAGACAATGCGTTCTGTAGGGTATCCATATCGACGATTGTCACGCTGCTCAAGTTTTCGTAGCTCTGCGGCGAGGCAAAGAAATTCAGGCCAATTTCAAATATGACCGTTCCTAGAAAGCCATATCGATGTTTCAGAAAGCTGGAACATTAGAACCGAGGTGCGCGTAGCATATAAGCGACCTCGTAAGCAACTGCAGGCATGTGAAATGGTTGTTTTGGAAAGAAAACGAGCCGATATCGAGGCCATATTCAGCTCTCTCATGAATAGTGATATTGTCCCGTAATACAGTCTGTTGAGCATCATTTGACCGCGAAGCGTGCACAGACCCTTGTGACACCCTTTTACAGCTTTCTACAACCGGTGCGCACATTGTGGACATGGAGCATGACCAATACAGTTTCCTATTCACTCTATTCACCGTGATGGTCGCTGATAACGGAATAAATGCACCACAGAGCTCAGCTGGTCCGCGAGGGCTCCTCTTACTCGAGAAGCAGCTGGAGAATTACCGAAAGCGAAATATCCACCTTGAGACATTATTGTTGAAGTACCGAGACGGACTGGAAGAACAAAAGTTGAAGAACGAACGGCTGGAAAGGGAGCTCGACCAACATAAAGATGCCCTCGTGGAGAAGATCAATGAAGTCGCAGAGATACACAGGGTAGTCGTGGCGCAGTCTCGTACTGTCACCGGATTTTCAAAGAACATACGGGATCTGACGGCCGACAAGAAGAGAAATAATGGCCAAGCAGCAGCGCCCTACCTTTCACGAGGACTAACTTATCGGTATATACAAGTTACCCAGTTGCACTTAGACCCGATCGGGTAATCTAACCCCGGGGTGCCCACAGCCCAAAATGTGTTTTGGATAAGCTGGTCAGGGAAGGAAGTCAGGCTCCCCGACGTTCTACTATAGTTCTTCATTCAGCCGTAGGCTGACTTAACATTAATCGAGGAAGTTTTCCCCAAATATGAGGGTTTGCCTTGAGGAACGAAAGGCCTTCTAACGTGCCCCGCAGACCCCGCCCTCTCCCCCCAAAAGTTCTCCGCCCCTTGATTGGTCCCTTGTGATTGGTCCCTCCTTGCCTCCCTCCTTGTTGGTCGCTGCCCTTCCCGGCTTCTGTTGCCTTTTCGCGTGCCTTATCCCACCACTGCCGACTCTTCCCGCCTGCCGAACTCTTCATCGCGTCACCTAGCGCGGCCGCCTTGACTCTTCAGCATCACCGTCCAGCCAGCGCAACGCCTCCTCAACGGTCCTCTCGCTCAGTACCTCGAGCCTGGCCTGTGCGGCAGTCATCTCCTCGGGGACCCGGTTGCCCACCAAGTCTCTGTCCCGCACCTTGGACACGAGCATGATGCCGTCTAGAGTTCGGCAGCGCGATAGCTGCACGTACAGGCCGTACGGGTCGCACTGCGAGGGCACCACCGTTCCATCCATCTTCGTCGTCCGTGTCCTCGCAGCTCGAGGGCCACGCGCTCCAGCGTTTTGCCCTGCACCTTGTAGTCCGTGCACGCGAACGCTGCTGCGCACGGCAAACCCTTTCGGCTGACGTCGTTGCGTTGCCACGGCCTTTTTCGCTGGCACTGTATCTTAACGGTCATGGGTGTCAACAAGATCGTGCCCGGCGGCATCCCGACGAAGTGGAGATATCTCGTCGTCTCCGATTCGAGAATGATCCCCGCCGGCGGCCCGAAGTGGATCGTCATATCGGCCGAGATCCGATGCCCCGGGTACGCCTTGTCGACAATGACCTCCACCGCCGAGTAGCTCGCGCCGTTCACTAGCTTCAGCCCCTGGTGGGTGTTGTGGTTCACGACGATGGGCATCCCGGCCACGAACATGAAGACGGCCGGCACCGGGATCGCGCTATCGTCGCCCTGGTTGAGTATCATGATCGCCTCTTCCTCCGTCGGCAGCTCCTCCTTCCACTTGTGCTCGGAGATGAAAATGCGCATCGTCGACCGCTGCTGGACCCGGAACGCCAGGCTCGCCTCCATGTTCAGGTTCCACCGATTCCTATTGAGCGGCGTCACCACGGTGATGCCCGTCTCCCAAGGATCCGCCTTCCTCCCGGTAGCACCTTGAGTTGAGGAGGTTTAGATCCGTCCGATCCTGCACGCCTAGACGGATCCGCTTCAGCAGCCTCTGCAGCTCCGGGTCGCCGGCGGCGCGCATCTGCTCGTCCAGCATGACGACCGTCGTGAACCTCTTCCACAGTGCGTGCGCTTTGTCGTGCTGGTGACGCTGCTCGGCCTTGAACGAGTTGTCTACGTCCCACGAGATGGCCGCGCTAGGCAGGACGATCGACCTCTTGGACCGGCCGGAACTGCTGAAAATCTCCGCAGAAGAGGACGATGGGGATCCCCCCGAAATCTTGCCGCGATCCGCGAAGCCGGCGAAGCCGCTCGTTCACGGCGTGCAGCGTCCGCGCCCCGAGCATGCTCACCTCGTCGATGACGAGCACATCCTTCTCCTGCCAATCCATTCGAGACTGGCCGTGGATGAACCGCTCCGCCTGTTTCGGCAGCCGCACCGTCAAGGTCTTTGACCATGTTCGCGCCCCGCCCCTTGGTCTTTAGTGAACCCGCAGGCGGTGGATCGTGATGCCGTTGATCCGCGCCGCCGCAGTCCCCGACGTCGCCGTGATCAGCAGACGATTCGAAAGGCTCTATTTACTGAACAGCTCGACGAGTGCCTCGATGATTCGCGACTTGCCGGTACCGCCCTCGCCACCGACGAACTGGCGCAGCTGGCAGGCATCGCCCCGTCGGTCTGCTGCATCAAATCGAGCTGGCGGCATATTATCAGAAAAGCGATGGACTGCCTCTTGTTCAGCGTCAGCCGTGTTGCCAACACCTTGCCCGCCGCGAGGAAGGAGGTTGATGGGCCAAACTGAACGTCCATTCCCGCCCCTGCGTCGATAGCGGTCTCGTCGGAGTCGGCCATCGTCATTTCGACCTCGTCCCCGAAACCGGTCATCACCCTTCGCAACGCTGCGCGGCGATCGCTTTCCCAGGCGGCGGGCGTGCTTTGTATCCCTTGGATCATCCTCTCCTCTCCTTCGAGGCACTTACCTGCTGCGACTTGATAGCCTTGACCTGATCCTGCGGCGGTAGTGCGGCCCGGAAAATACCCGCCCTGGCATGCTTAACCGCCTCTCCTCGTTCGATCAGCGCCGTGGCCTCGAGCTCGGCCGTCGAGCGCAGCGCCGATTGCTGAAACCGACAGAGCTGCTGTATCATTGCCATGAGCTCCGGCGACTTGGCCGTCACCTGATTCGCTCCCACTGCACCTCGGACGACGTCGATGAGCCGCGTTGCGTCTCCGATGCTGTTGGGCTGATATGTCGCTGCAGACTCCGCGCCCGCCTCGCCTGCTCCACCCTCCTCGACGTGTGCGACCGTCGGGTCGCCATCGCCGGACGAGGCTGCCCATTGCTTGGCGTCGCGTTTTGCGTCTTCGGCGGATCGTCGAAGCAGCTGCACGTTGTCGACGAGACATGATATTCTCGGGGCCATAGCGTCTCGAGCCCGCGCCCAGATGCTGTTGATCTCACCTGTTCCTTCGCCCAGGAAGGACTCCACGGCACGAACAGCGCAAGATGCTGCACGGCTGCCCTTCAGGGGTGGGTTAGCTCTCCGATAATGCCCGCTGACAGAGCAGTTGCCATACACACCTCCGGTAGCACGACTCGTCATCGTAGGTGAAGTCCTTGCTCAGGTAGCCGTCGAGGCAGACGGTAGCGTGCTTGCCCGGCCGCCTGAGCACCTGAACCCAGCGTCGTCCCGGCGCCCATCCATCCTCGAAAGACATCTCCCCAAGCCGCCCAGCTCTCGTCGTTGCCGATGCGTTTCAGTCTGACGATCGATATGTAGTCATACAGGCATAGGCCTTTCAGCAGCTCTCCCGGTGCTGGTACGCCTCGACGTGGGAGATTCTCAGGCCTTCTTCTTCGACGACGACCGACTCATCCAAGGTGTCATCCATAGCCGCAGCGCCACTGGCTTCTCGGAGATGCCGCCATCGCCGAAAGACTTCCAGTACAGCAGAGAACAGTTCAGGTACGCCCACGCGCTGCTGTCGGTGAACTCGGCCGGATATCCGAGAAGGTGAGCGACGACCTCGACCTGTGATAGCGGACGCTCCGTGAACACGCGGTTCGCCACTCTCATCAGGAACTGTCGCGTCCTGTTCCCTGACAGGGTCATCGGTGGCAGCGTCTCCGCCACCGTCCCGCCCTCCGTTGGCCGTGCCATCACCTGTTGAGGCGGCCAGGAGCTCGGCCGCGGCCGCCACACGCTTCCACACCGGGTCCTCCACCTTGGTCGCGTAGTTCGTGACATAATAGATGAGGGCCATTGTCTTGCGCTGCGTCGCAATGAAGGAAATATCATGGTTGTGCCGGAGCCCGACAGCAATAGCCTCGTTCCATCGATTGACCATGCTGTGTGTCCTCCGGATCTGCAGCACCCCGTCTGCCGTGAGGGCGGTCTTGTCGACTAACCTCCATGGCGCCTTGAACCGGCAGAGGTCCCCTTCCGCCCTCCTTTGCCCAAGGAATACTTCACACAGGTCGGGCTATGCGTGTGCACCTGCGTCGCGCCGGCACAGAAGTTGGCCTCCTCAATAAACGCGGCCGAGAACTGCGCGGCGTTGTCCAGCAGGGAACCAATACCGCCCGTCACAGATCGCCCGCTTGCACGGCGCAAAACTTTCCTGGTCCAGATCCTGCCTTGCACGTCAACCCGGCCCCACTTGGCCATCAGAAGAGTACTTCAGGCTCCCGGTGGCATATCTTAGGTAGGCATTCTTACCTCTGAGAAGACGCTATCGATGTATCGGACGATTCGCTCGCGATACGCCGCCTGATCCTCCCCGTGGATGTCGGCAAGCATCGAGCTGAGATGCGCGTTCCCGTGCAGCCAGAGCAAGCCGTGAACATGAAGCGCCCTCGTTCGTTCGTCTCCACGGCGCCATAGTACTTGCCGATGCGCCCGAATACCGACTCTTCACCGACCTTCACGTAATGATCGAAGAACAGCTTCATCTCGCGGTGGAAGAACACGGCCGAGCTCATGGGATCCGATATCGCCAGCCGTGCCCGCTTATACGCATCCCCAAGGCCTTCTAAGAACTCCTCGGCCGCGTCGGGATCGCGTGTGCGGTATGCCGCCAGTCGCAGCTTCACCGGGTTCGTAATGTCGTTCGGGTTGATGGTGAACCAGATGGCCGGCACGCCATATCCGACGATGAGCGACTGGATTTTCCGCCGCATATTGAGACGGACCTCTCGACATGGGCTGCCGGTGGCCGTAAAGCGAGAGGCTCCTGAGAAGCTCCTTCACGTCACCATCGGTCGTCTTACCCGAGCTCTCCAACTCGACCCTCGCCGCCGCTAGCCTTTCTGTGGTCATCGAACGCACGATGCGCTCTACCTTGCGGAAGTTCTTCCTCCCACACTCAACATGCTGACCCGGCGGTTCCTCGACCGCACCCCATGTTGAAGACGAGAAATGCGAAGATGTGGTGCAGTGCAAATCGACCACCATGGCGCCGGAGCACGATCTCGGCCCACGCCTGAAGGTTCAAGCTTCGAGACGATACGGGGTCTCCGCGGCCGCCTCTGCCTCGACAGCCCTGCCTCGCAAGTTGGCCGTGACCTTCCCGCGTCGACCATGGTCTCTTCAACCAGCCTTGGTCCCCAACGCCAAATGGGAACAGGGTCGGGAACGTCCTGGCAAAGAAGGACGCCTCAAAGGAATCGGTAAACTCACCCCCCCGCGAAACCCGGATGTATGGCTCACAACCACCGTCGCCACGCCCCCGAACCCCCCCGGCTAGGGACCCGACCCACGCTCTCGGGCCCGCACGGCCGTCGTCGGCACCTTCACCAACAGCGTCACAGGCAAACTGCAGCTTCTCCACGTCCGCGACGTCTGGCGGTCCGTCGAGCGCGAACATGCCAGAAGACGTCACCTCGTTGATCGCTGGAACGTTCTGGTCGGGGCAGGCGTCACTTCCATCGCGAACCGCGCCTTCTCCGTTGGGCCCGTGACCTTCACCCTGGCCGCCGGCTTCTTGTCCTTGGTTGAGCAGGGCGAAGAGCTCCTCGATCTCCACCGGCCCTCCTCGTCCACGGCGCGTTCCGTGGGCGGCACAACGTGCGCCGTCCGCGCTTTCTCCCACCCAGACGGCTCGTTCCGCTCCATACGATCGCACACCGACGACGGTACCCCGTGTATCGAGTCTCCCAGCTCTCCATCTCCGCCGCGTCGATCTCGATCTCGGCGTAGTGGGGGTTGTTCCGCTTCAGCCAGACAAGGGCCCTCTCGACCACCCGCCGCCTCACCGACAAGAGACTCGACAGGTCACTCGGTGCCGGCTTCTCCGCGCCCTGCCACGAGATGTGGATCTCGTCCAGTGCTTGCAAAAGGGGCGGGAGCACTTTGTGGCCAGCTCCTGCACGTTGTTGGGAAACACTGTGATGTGGCCCTTGACGTGCCTCGGATACTTCACGCTCTGCCTCTGCCCGCCCGGAATGCTATATCTCGTGACAAACCCGTAACATGAGTTCAGCGAGATGAGCTTCTCTTCGACCGGCGTCAGTCCCTTGAGCTCATCGGGGAACATGTGCTCGCAGCCAAGGCGACTGTGAAGGTGGATCGCCGGCGACAGGCTCCTGCGCGCCAGGCATCGGCCACACTCGGCGCACACCGACACGGACTCGCCCTCAGGAAAGCAACTCCGGCATGAAAATGGTGAGCGGCCGCCCTTTGGTACGCAACTTGACAGCCAATGATCCCATGTAATCTCCTCAACTCTCTCTCGTACACTTGCGGTAGCACACCATGCAGGTCCGTATCGGCAACGTGCTCGCATCGTGGAACGCCTGATAGAAGTCTCGCACCGTCGACACCTTCCTCTCGAGCGGTATTGGCGTGCACCACGTCTGATCGTTAGACAATCTCTCCTTCAAGGCAAAGTCTTCCTCCAAAAAGCGCAGCACACTCGCCAGGTCTTCGGCCTGCAGCTCCCGTCTCCTATGCCTTCCGATTCCACTTCGGACCTGTTTTATCGGGCGCCCATCCCGGCTAGGAAGACGGGCTCTCTTCTCCCGCCTCCGGGACTGCCTCTGTCCGCGCAGCGAGCCGTCCGCTGCCTCTGCTGCGCCATCGTCCACACCCACCTGTGCCCTTGGCCGCCGAACCGGTCCCCGACGGAGCTTGGGCAAACCCCATGCAATCGATGCTGCAAATTGCGCCGTTCGTCTTAGGTCTTGGAAAGTCGTATCCTTGGGCTGGATAGGTCGGACCGTCGGTCCCTTTTTCGAACGAACACCCGGGACACCGCCGGTCGCCGCCTTATCTCCCTGCCCGTCACCTTCAGGACCTCTCCTGGGGCAAAACGGCCGATGAAGGGCGGACTGTTAGAGCCCACTGCCCCTGGTCTCCACGTTCTGTAGGCAACACGAACCTCGGAAGCGGACTCGGTGACTGACGTTGCGCGGAATTTCCGCTGCTGACCAAATTACGGGACTTCCGTGCTCTGCTTGACTGCAAACCGCCTCGCGGCGGTCTTCTCGGCAGTGACTTTGCGATCGCCTCTGCATGCTTTCTCCATGCGGTTTCTTCGACCGCAGACTGCTTAGGCTGAATCAGCCGGAACGTTAATGCTTCATTCGCCACTGATCTGTATCTCCCGAACCGCCCCAACCTTGTCTCCCGTGCTCCGTGCCCTTCTCGGAGTTGCCCTGTATCATCTCCGCACCCCGAAACAGGCACTCCCCCGTTCCTACCCTCTTCTCCATCCTCGACTGACAACGAACAGGCTCCACGGTGAGCGGCCGCCTCGCCTAGCTTCCCTGCAGGACTGTCCGCCATGCTACTGCCTCCTCGACGTCGACTAGCGTGGATTGGCAACAAGCTAGAAAGTTTTGGCTCCGGAGCACTTCCACTTGGATAATCTCGCTTCTTGGCGTACACTATTTCTTTCCGAGTGGGAAGCTTCCTAACGATCACTACTCTCATGGCCGTGGCGTTTCTTCCCTTATAATGCTTGCCTATGGTACCGAAGCGATGCAATACTACTACCCTTTGTAATCCCCATTTACCCTCCCTATGTGCGTCCACCGTCCCGGCCCTCGGCTGGTCTCCACGTGCGACCTGCTACCCCAGCTTTGCCAAAGGCGGCCCTTCCATCGCCGTGCTCTCTTTGCGCACTCCAGCGAATCCTGGCTACTGCCGACCTCCGGCACATGGGGTGGCCGCGCCAACCGCCCGCCGCACACTTCCAACCATACTCTCCGGCCCTTCCAACGCCGTCCCACCCACCTTGCGCATCAGTTGCTCCATCAATATCTGCCACTCCACCTCGTCGAGCAACAGCCAAAAGGCTGCCGGCGATAACATGTCCACGGTGTCCTCGTGCAACCGGACTACCCGGCTAGGTTTGCTCCTCGCCACCACCAACGTCGCATCAACGGCCTTCATGCTAAAGCGACAGCCAGGATCCCCTGCCTGTCCTCTTGTAGTCGCTAGCCACCGGAGTCTCGACTTGCAAACCCTCTTGAGAGTTCTCGTGACCAACTCGCATCCTCCTCCTCAGGTCGTCCCCTATATCCGACTTCACCGTGTCCCAATAGTGGACTCGACACGGTCGGCACCCGCCTCGCTCAGCCGCACGCAATGCCCATCCAACTACCGACGACCGTCAAAAGGGACCCTGCAATACTACCATAACCTCTTTCTTTCCTTCACTCATTCGTTATTGTCGCCTTTGCTATCTACTCCATGCAACGATGACACCGAAGGGTACTGCTGGACTTTCTTTCTCCGCAGACTTACCCACACTAACCTTACTGTTCGCCGACCTCCAACTTCTCGCGACATAGCCATCACCCCTACTCAACTTCCAACCCCCGGCTCCCTACTTCACTCACGACCATAGAACCAGATGGTCGAGACTGTTCAAGAACCTCGCCAGCTCATTCCCGCATACCCCCGCTTCTGATCTATCACCTAGGTAGCATTCTCTGACTCTTAAGTCTCCCGACCCTAGCCGCGAGCCCTCTTTCGAGCAGCAAGAAAACCTGCTTTATAGGATGCCCACCTCCACTCTGCGTAACCCCTCATTTACACTTCCACGGTGACTACATCTGCCATGTTCTCACGATGTCGGCCTCCCAGCTCAACGTCGATACCTCGTCCTCCCGCGGCAACCTCTTGACAGCCAAAAATGCTGGCGCCGACATGTCCATGATGGCCTTTGTCCAGCCCGGCTGCCCGGCTAGGTTCGCCTACCAGAATGAGCATCGTGTCAAAGGGCTCAACGCAGAAACCCTAGCGAGGGTCTTCCTTCCCACGCCCTCATGGCTGTCGACTCCGGAGTATGCAGCAATCCGGTCAGATACTGGCAATCCATCGACCTGCATCTTCTTCAGCCTTAATATTTCCATATACAACCAACAGATAATCTCCTCGGAATGGACCGAGCAATGGTTCTTCATGGTCGGCCGTGTTCATCCCTTTGCCCTGACGTGGAAATCGAGCGACGTGATGGCTTGAGTCGGACGATGATAACATCACAGAATACACCGTCCCCGCGCTTATAGTCCGCGATCACAGCTACCAACCGTGAGTCTATGCTCCAAATCTCTGTCGCCACTGCCCTCCTGACGATATCCATAGAATTGTCACTCGCACCTCAGCTCGGTGGATACTTTCCCAACGATACAACCCATTGTCTCCTTCACGGGACCTGTCATCGGCTCCGGCCGCGACCTCCTGCATGGAAACTCGGCTGCGGCCCTTGACGACACCCAGCTGAGCTGCTGCGGCTTTGTCCAGCTCTCCACCTTTATTTGTCCTGGGATTCCCGGCAAACCCCTTCAAGGGCTTTCACCCTTCCAAGTTTTCGTCATCTTCCCCATTCACGCTAATCCTTGGACCTCCTATGCAAGAATATGACCGAGAGGCGCGACAGCCAGTTCCAGTCGAACGCTCTCTTCACCTGTACGGGCAAAATCGCCGGCTTACTGGATCACCAGATCATGAAACATGCCCCGGCTTTCGACCAAGACTATATCTTCATCGTCGTCCCCGACACGTGGACTTTCCACGACAAGGCCATGTCCGGCCAGGCTTCTGCAACACAACTACTGCCGACGACACCCAAGAGCGCGGTCGGCAATCCCTCGGACTATAGCGTTGCGTTGGCCAGGTTTACCTCTACGAAGAAACCCAAGGCCGCCCAAAGCCCCGCCTCCCCCACGCCGCATGCTTCTGGCCCAGTCGATCCCCTTATGCTGGCATCAAGTCGGTCATTGCCCGATCCCTACCAAACCCCAACCAAGAGACCGCGACTTTCTCCCGAAACTTCCACCATAATCACCGACTGTGACGGTCAAGACTCCCCCAAATCCGATACCTCCTCCTTTCTGTCCCCGGAAGACCCCGCAGAGTCAGAGACGGACACCGAACAGGTCAATCACCAAGACACATCCGCCTCTGGCTCTATCAGACCTCCCGCGTCGATATCTTCCCGACCACTGCGCGCCCGACGTCCGCCCAAGAATATTCTCTGAACTTTAAAGCATCAAACGAAACAATACAACATGACAACATGTCTCATCATCCTCAAAATCAACTGCCAAAGGCTCGAATAGCACATTCTCTTCTCTTCTTGTTCTCCTTTTCATGAAGACGATCAAGTCAAAACTTCCCAATATACTCCTTATTCTGTTTATACCTACGACTTATACCGGTAGCACATGTAAATTTTCCGAGCCTTCCACTCGCCCAGACATGCATTACCCACTCACATCTCTCTTCAACCCTGCCGTCTCTCCACGCCCTTTGAGTTTGCGCCTTTTTAAACCAAATTTTCCTCCAGCGGCCTAGCCTGCCTTCCCGACGCTCTGTCTCGGTTTCACTCACGATAATGCTCTACGTCTCTCGCCGTGTCTCGTATCTCGACCTCACTCTTCTTCCTGTCTCCTATCTACTGTCGCCAACTCTCTCTCTCTCTTCTGTAGCCAACTCTTCTCCGGTTCTCTTGTCGCCAAATTTCGTTCCGAAAGGCTTCTTTGCGCGAGCCGCGGCTGGCGAGCCTTCCTCTCGTGGTGCTGACAGGGATTCGTTAAGTTTTTCGGCTTCTGATTGGTTGAGGTTTTGTAAAACGTAACTCAACTGGATGATGACTCCCGAAAAAATGGGTCCAATCTTCGTAGCCGCCCCTGAGCATGGCGATCACACCGCGTCTTTCTGTTGTTTCTTTCGTTTACAATGAGTCCCGTACCTACTCATCGAGGGGCCCAAGATGGGGTAGTTTCCATCGTGTGCATTCGCTGTCGCGAAGAGAAACTCGCGGAAGACTTCCTCGGCAGACGGAAGTCGGTTGGGCACACAGGAGCTGCCTGAGCTGCCGCAATCAGCGCGCCTCTCATGTTGGCTTTTATCCCTAACTCCGTGAGGTGTTCAATGCTGATCAATTGAAGTACTCCAGGTCCAGAGGCGCGACCCAGACCTTGAGGGACGTCGCAATCCGTCCTCCTCGCCTCAGAGACCCGCATCAAAGAGAACCGACCCAGTCGTCGGATTATCGCCTGCGCAGAACAGATCTGGAACCCGGCCTGCGTCATCAGAGACGTTACTGGGGCGTCATACGGCGAGGTCTTTCGAAGAGTCGATTGACCAGCCGCGGGTAGTGCTGGGGACGCCAATTCCACCAAGCCAAGGAAGTGCCCGCTCCTTTCGGACTCTTGCGCCAACACCCTTGATGCAGTCGACGACTGAGCAGGCCGCGCCACACTCAGGCTTGTCTGCTATGAGAAGCAGCACAAGTGGTATAGATTACTCTTATGTGGCTGCTAGATTCCATAAGGGGGGGAAGAACTCTCAAGATGATCCCTCGAAAGCCAGGGCAAGGACCAAGGTAGCCGCGATCCAGCGCGACCACCGGTCACGACGTCGCGCAGGGGAGGTTGTGTCACTGACGCCAACGATATCTCAGCTGGGCGTCTTACAAGGCTCGGAGTTGGCTGGAGAATGTATTTATCCTCGTGCTGTGGTTCGCAATAGCTTCTACGGGCTGACCATGGAACATAGATGCGAGCCCAGATCGACTACGGACGGGTGGGTTTCAAGGTGGGGGTATGATACCTAAGGAAGGAGACGACAGGGGCCAGTTCTCAGGGTCTGATATTGACGCTGAGGATTATGTCAACGTCCTGCTTTCACCCGCTCGACCACGCAGGTATCTCGAGCGATTGGGGATCGAGCCGGACTCTGAACCTGGTGAGGAAGACGAGGACGGTGACAGGAACAATGATTCTGTGGATAGAAGCCCACTTCGCCGTCGGCCGCCGCAGCCGTCCGCACGGCCAAGGCGTGGTCGCCGAGGTCCCGCCCCAGGTACAGGAGGGCGGCCAAGAAGGTCTCGGAGAGAAACACGATCGTCGAGACCGCCACGACGTCTTCGGAGTCCAGTGATAATTCCACCGGAAGAATTGGCGGTCTTCCATGCGCAAGATCCGGTGTGGAATGGCGACCTCGACGCTTGTGCCTTGACCGACCGCGATAAGGCCACCCTGCGCGAGTTCTGGACTAAGCTTGACAATGACCAGATGGAATACTGCAGCCGATGCCGCGAGTGTTGGTTTCAGATGGAAATAGATTATGACGGCATTTGCTCGCGTTGCTATCGAAAGGATGAGAAGCGTGGCCCCGACGAACCTTATTTCTTCTCTGCCGAAAATCAACTCGACTTTGGCCCTGTGCCGGCCCGATTGCCTGAGCTTACGCCTACTGAAGAGTCGTTGATCGCTCGCGTGCACGTCCACGTCAATATCATGCTGGTGCGGGGACAGCAGTACAAGTATCGGGGGCACGTCGTTCACTTTCTCCGCGAGGTTGGCTTGGTGTACAACCAGCTCCCGCTTCTGCCGCGGGAGTTGAACACGGTGTTGCTGCGTCCTGCCAACACGTCGTCACACGCCAATCTCAGTCGGCAATTCACCCGCCAGTTCCGTGTGCGCCGCCAGGCGGTTATGATATGGCTTGACTACCTCCGCCATCATCATCCTGGCTATCGATGCATCGTCATCGACGAAGAGCGACTGAGCCAACTGCCCGAGGACGGCAATGCGGTGGATGCCATCCCCCAAAGTCAGGTGGAGGCTGCCGATGTGGGACCGGAGGAAGATCAGGAGGCAGAGCCTGAGCTAGAGGACGCGGCTGCGGTGCCTGACCTGTTGGCCAAGGACACGGAGCTCGATGCTCTGCGGTCTGTTCTCGCGGGCGAACCAGAAGCGAACGCAAGGCTTCCTCTCGCCACAGGCTCCCAGGGCGGGGCAGCACGGGCTGCGGCTGCCGAATATACGGCACACGCCGATCAATGAGTTCAATCGCTCTCATGCCCTGCTCTCCTTGGCATTCCCCTGCCTCTTTCCAGACGGCAGAGCCGACTTTGTGGAACCTCGCTTGCGGTCAATTGAGTACAAGGATTACATCGAGCACGCGATGCGGTGGCACGACGGCCGTTTTGCACGGCACCCGACCTTCCGTTTTGTCGCGTTCAACACTCTGATGCGGTCCCAAGCACGCGCGCGGTCGAGATTCTTCGTGAAGCAACATGACGGCACCCGCGAACAACTCACGCGAGAGCAGCTTATTCAGGCACTTGAACACAGCGAAGATCCCGAGGCGCAGGCGCTGATCAACTCGATCACAAGGCATGCGGTGTCGATTCGCGGTACGCGCCCCTCTTTTGGAACAGAAAGAGGCAGGACCTCGAGGCGTATGCATACAGCCTGGGCTGTCCTGGCGCATTTATCACATTCAGCCCAGCCGATTTGCACTGGCGGAGCCTCTACCAGCACATGCCCCGATATGGAGAATGGCTGCGCGTTTCCGAGCCGGAGAGGATGGCATTGTCGCGGTACTTATTGCGACAGAACCCTCACATTGCTGCTTTCCACTTCTACCGCCGATACTGCTTCTTTCGAGATATCGTGTTGCGGAAGAAGTTCAACGTCACGGATTACTGGGATCGGTACGAATGGCAAGGGCGTGGTAGTCCGCACAACCACGGTCTGTACTGGATGAAGGAGGGCCCCGCCGCCGACATGGAGGACGAAGCCGCTCGAGACCTGTTTGCACGCACGTGGGGCTTCCACATCACGGCCGTGAACCCGGAGCCCCGTAGGACTGTGCCTCGGGGGGGGAGGGTAACCCGCTGAGCGTAGATCCGCTGGGCGTGGAGATGACATTCCTGCGGCTCTCGCAAATTGTCAACCGTTGCCAGCGCCACAGATGCAATACCACGTACTGCTTGCGTGTCAGAAAAGGAAGCGGCGACCTGGCGAGGGACATGGAAGGAGCTGCTGCCGATATTGAGGCGGCCAACGCAGCCAATCCGGAAAGGAGTGTCGTTTGACTTCCCCGTGCCTTGCGAGAGCTGGCCGCGGTCATCAGGAAGGAAGGCAAGTCGTACTACATCTTCGAGGCGGCCCGCAACGACAGCCTTATGAATCATTTCAACCCTGCCATCATTCTGGGATGGCTGGCCAACATTGACATATCTCCATGCACCAGCTTGCAAGCAGTCATTACGTACGCTGCCAAGTATTGCAGCAAATCGGAGAAGAAGACAGAGCCTTACTGCAGGCTGGCGGATCAGGTTTTGCCGCATACAGCACACCACCAACCCTGTTGTCTTTCTCCTCTCGCCTTATGAATAAGTTGATTGCCGAGAGAGATTATTCAGCGCAGGAAATTTCCCACTTGCTGCTCAACATCCTCTGCAGGAAGGGACTCGGATGGTTGTGTACGTCGACTGCCGCCCGTCAGAGCAGCATGCACGGTCCTACCGCGTCGATGATGATGTCAGAGAGGCTGTCGGCAGCTACCGGAAATATCTGCAGAGAAATGACCAGCATGAGAGTATTACTTATCTCGAGTACCTGCAGCTGTACAATCTCAAGACATGGAGGAGACTCGGTGCGAACGCGAAGAAGAGGGTTCTGTCCTACTTTCCTCGGTACAGGCCAGTGGAAACCTCAACCCAGTTTCATGACTTCTGCCGTGTCAAGTTGATGATGGCCCATCCGCACCGCGCTCCGGAGGAGTTGCTTGCTGTGGACGGGCAGCTGTGTGAGTCCTTTGTTGCGGCGTACCAGTGCTGTCGGCGGCGACACCATTTCCATGAGGACGACCATTACGGGGAGGTGGGGACAAACGAGCTCCAGGCGGAGGACGATGAGTTTGTGCAGGAGGTGCATGACGAGCCCATCGCAGAGGAGGACTGGCATGAGCTCGCCCACATGCTGCCAGACCGGCCGCTGGAGGAAGAAGACATCGACGTACTTGGCCGGCGAAATATCGACGTGAATTATGACTGGACTCCACGTCGGACGATACACCAACGACGACATTCTCAGCGGCAACTACTGGGAGCAACGCAAGGCGGAAAGCTCCTTTCACCTTGATGTGGAGCATCAGCCCTTGGAAGCACGCGATGCCCTGAATCCAGAGCAGCGCATAGTGTATGACACGGTGATGGGTCACTTTCTCGCCCAGGACCGTTCCCAGTTGCTACTCCATGTGGATGGTGGCGGTGGCACAGGCAAGTCATATCTCATCAACCTGCTCTCGGCGCACCTCCAGGCTGCGACACGTGGAGAGGGACACCTGTCTGGCGTGCCGCACCGACAGGCGTCGCAGGGAATCAGATATCAGGCACTACTTTGCACTCGCTGCTTCACCTCCCGATCAACAAGGACTTCAGGCCGCTCTCCGCCATCGACAAAGCCCAGCTCCAGAAGAAACTGAAGGATATTCAGTACCTAATCATCGACGAGAAAAGCATGCTGGGACTGCGTATGCTATCCTGGATTGACGACCGTCTCCGCGAGGCATTTCCGCATAGGAACGAGGAGTTCTTTGGCGGACTCAATGTCCTTTTGGTGGGCGACTTCTTCCAGCTTCCTCCTGTTCTACAGAAACCGCTATACTACGACAAAGAGGTGCAGGAGTAGAGATCAGGGAAGGAACGCGTATATGCGCTTCGATAAGACTGTCTTCCTGAGCGTTGTTCAGCGGCAGTGCGGCGATGACCAGGCGGCCTTTCGCAAGGCTCTCGGGGAACTGCGGCTGCTCCAACTATCCTACGGGTCCTGGAAACTTCTCTCTGGCCGCGTGCAGGCAAAGCTAGACGATCAAGAGGTCGCCAGGTTCGCCGACGCCTTACGGGTATACGCCACGAAAGACCGGGTGAACGAATATAACCATTACCACCTTGACCGCCTCAACCGACCAGTCATCCAGGTCATCGCTACAAACGTTGGCCCCGGCGCGACAGCTGCTCCGGACGACAAGGCGGGCAACCTTGCGAAGCAGATTCCCGTATGCATTGGCGCCCGTCTGATGCTGACGTCCAACCTTTGGCAGCCAGTTGGCCTCTGCAACGGCGCACGCGGTACGGTATACGATATCGCCTGGGCGCCTGGAGCTGACCCCATGCAAGACCCTCCCTGCGTGATCATGATGGAGTTTGACAAGTACACGGGGCCGGTATTCCTGACCACCGCAGATGGCAAGAAGATTGTCCCCATTCTGCCAGTAGACAGGGACTTCCTCGTCGGAGCCACACTCTGCACTCGTACGCAGTTTCCCCTGATCGTGTGTTACGCCATTACAGTTCACAAGTCGCAGAGCATCACCGAAGACACGATCGTGACGGATCTGTCCTGCCGTGACTTTCAGACCGGATTGAGCTACGTGGCCGTCTCGCGTGTGAAAACGCTGCAGGGTCTGATGCTGGATGCCCCGTTTGACCGCAACCACCTGACTTATGCGTCGCCACCGGAAGGAATTAAGATGAAAATGAGGGGATCAGCAACTTCGCAAACGACAGGTTCTCACCCAGAATCCGTACAAGACAGGCCACGGGCATACGTAACTCCACTTGATGCTACTCGCGACAAGAACGACACTTTCCAAGGCACAGATTGTATGATTGTAGATACTGTATTGATTGTTCGGTGACTGCTCGACTGGTAGCCAGACTCGCAGCCTTCGGCTGATTGTACGCCTTGCACCACAACCCTAAAGACTAAAGTGCAAGGCGTAGCGCAGTATTTTATTTCTTTACTCTGGGGTAGGTGTGGCTCTTGATTGCCATCATGGCAGAGCCTGAAGTGGCGCCTCCGGCCGACGTGGGGGCGGGGCTGGATCCAACTAGCCCGTCGCCATTGACGCGTCCGACGCGAGTGATGACGCCCAGCGCACGAGTGCAGGATACGTTACGATCGCTGGAAAATGCGACCGCGAGAGCTCCCAAGCGTGTCTCGACCCGAACGACGCGAGTCATATCGGTGGGCAACGAAAGCGAAAGAGGCGACGAGGTGAAGTCACGCAGCAATGTGGAGACCGCCAAATCGATGATGCAAAGGGTTCTAGAGATGCTGGCGAAGATGGGAAGCGAGATGGTGGAGCTGAAACATCGAGTATCCGAGCAAAGCGACACGATCAGGAAGCTGAGCGCCACGGTGTACAAGCAAAGCACCACCATCCAGGGACAGGAAGATCTGATCCGAGGCTTGGAAGCCCAGGTCCAGGAATCCAAGGAAGAGTTTCGACGTAAGAGTGAAGAACACGACAAGCAAATGAAACAGGAACACCGGGATCTTAAGAGAGAATTGGTCGGAGTGAAAGAGCAACTAGATCAGCTGATGCAAAAGCTGGATGTATCGGGCGAGGTGGCTTTGTCAAGCGGCCTCGAGCAACGTTTGCGGACGTCGCGCGCGCCCTGCCAAACAGCCCGCCCTCCAGTACACGCAGCATACCTGGTCCAACCAAACAGCAGACAGCCAACGATTCTGTCCATTGTACCATTGACACGTCTCGTGTAAGTGAGCCGAACAGGAACAAAGCGCAAATCGGGCAGATACGACAGGCCATCGAGGTTGAGATGAGAGCGAAGAACGGACATGAGACCTGGAGGTGCGCAGCAGTTGTGAGAGAATCCCGGAACGCCGACCGAATCAAGATAGTCTGCAGAGATGAAGCCGAGCTTCAGCTGGTCAAAGAGGCGGCGCAGAAGACAGCCGTAGAGGGAGCGCGAATCATGAGAGACCAGCTGTATCCGGTCCGGGTCGACAACGCCAACCGGACAGCAATCCTCGACACGGAGGGCAATATCCTGCCCGGAGCGATCGAAGCCTTGAGTGCCGAAAACAGAGTGACCATTGGCAAGATTTCCTGGCTGAGCAAACGAGAGTCTGGTAAAGCCTACGGATCCATGGTAGTATATGTCACCAAGAAAAGCGATGCAGAAAGGCTTCTGGACGGTGACTACTTTGACCTAGCGGAGAGTCGGCCACCACTTATAAGTTCGAGCCAAGAACGGGACCGATCCAATGCTTCAATTGCCAGGAGATCGGTCACAAAGCATATTCATGCAAGAAGCAGCGGACATGCGGCAAGTGCGCAAACGCTGGGCATCACCACCGAGTGCACAGCGATTGAGCCAAAATGCGTCCCGTGCGGCGGACCGCATGAGTCGTTTAGCTGGAAGTGCAGGATGAGGAACCCGAGCAGCGATGCTTGAGTCCCTCCGCATCCTACAGCTGAATGCACACAAGAGTGATATGGTGCAGCAGAGTCTGATGAACGACGAAGACCTGAAGGATTTTGCCGCACTGGCTATATCTGAGCCACATGCGCGCAATATCGACGGAAAGGTGGTGACGAGTCCTATGGGACACCATAACTGGACAAAGATGATTCCGACGTGTGTTCGTGACGCCCTATGGCCGATCCGCAGCATGCTCTGGATCCGAAGTGACCTTGAGGCGGAGCAAGTGCCTGTGCCGTCGGCCGATCTCACAGCAGCGGTACTCCGACTTGAGGGAAGGGAGGTGATGGTGGTGTCAGTGTATGTGCAAGGAAAGAACGACGAGGCGCTGACGAACGCGATGGAACTATTGCGCGACGTGATCGATCGCTTCCGCAATGGGACAGGAGACGCACCGATGTGGTTTTGGCGGGGGACTTCAACCGCCATGACCTCCTCTGGGGCGGAGATGAAGTGTCAGCGAGCAGACAAGGGGAGGGCGAACCCATCATTGACCTGATGGACGACTTTGGTCTTAGCAGCCTTCTCGCGAGAGGGACGAAAACGTGGCAGAGGTCGGACGAGGAGAGCACCATCGACTTGGTGTTGGCATCGGCGGAACTGGCGGACGAGTTGACATCCTGCGTGATTCATCCAACAGAGCACGGATCAGACCATAGAGCGATCCAGACGACATTCGACATTCGAGTGCCGGAGCGTACCTTTCCGCAGCGCCTGATGCTCAAGAACGCGCCGTGGATCGCCATCGCAACCAGGGTCGAGGACGAGCTTCGGCCTCTTCCGTGGACTGTGGGGGTGCAGACGCAGGCGGATCAGCTCATGCGGGTGGTCACCAAGGCGCTTCGAGATCTGACCCCTCGAGCCCAGCCGCCGCCATACGCGAAGCGATGGTGGACAAAGGACCTGACGCGACTCCGTCGGACGTACACGTATTGGCGCAATCAAGCAAGGGCGCAGCGAAGAGCCGGTCAATCGCGGCCGGATCTGGAGCAGCGCGCCAAGGAGGCTGCGAAGGAGTACCACGACAATTTGCGGAGACAAAAGAAGGCCCATTGGGATGACTTCGTCATCGAAGGAGCAACATCTGGAGGGCTGCCAAGTATCTGAAGCCTGGTACGGAGATGACGGATGACAAGGTGCCCCGCTGAAGAGAGCCGACGGTTCGATCACCGAAAGCAAGGGCGAGCAAGCCGAGGAACTCCTGAGCACCTTCTTTCCGCCTCTGCCAACGAGGATCGAGCCGGAGGGTGAACGTCCGCAGAGAGAAGAAATAGCCATGCCAGACCTCACCTTGCAAGAGATTGAGGAGAAGGTGATGGCGGCGAAGCCCTGGAAAGCGCCTGGTGAGGATGGCCTTCCTGCGATCGTGTGGAAGAAGCTCTGGCACGTGGTCAAGCACCGGGTGTGGACGCTCTTCAGCTCATCGCTCCGAGAGGGCGTGGTGCCTCATCAATGGCGAACGGCCAAGATCATTCCTCTGAGGAAACCAGATAAAGGAGACTACACCTGGCCAAGGCGTGGCGACCGATTTCTCTCCTGTCGACGCTTGGCAAGATTCTGGAGGCAGTCGTCGCGGAACGTATCAGCTATGCAGTCGAGGCTCAAGGGCTTTTGCCCGCGAACCACTTTGGTGCACGGAAGCGCAGGTCCGCAGATCAAGCACTCGTGCTTCTGCAGGAGCGGATCTACAAGGCCTGGAGAACGGGCAGAGTGCTCAGCCTCATCAGCTTTGACGTCAAAGGCGCATACAACGGAGTGTGCAAAGAGCGAATGCTCGAAAGGATGAAAGCCCGAGGCATCCCGAGTCGACTGGTCAATTGGATAGACGCATTCTGCTCGGGACGGACCGCGTCGGTGGTTGTCAACGGGCACACATCCGAGCAACAAACCCTGCCGCAGGCCGGCCTACCCCAGGGATCTCCTCTGTCGCCAGTGGCTTTTCTTTTCTTCAACGCAGACCTGGTACAAAGACGGATCAGTACTAACGGTGGCTCCATCGCCTTCGTGGACGATTACTCTGCCTGGGTCACGGGGCCAACGGCAGAGTCAAACAGAGATGGTATCCAGTCGATTATCGATGATGCGCTTGATTGGGAGAAGCGCAGCGGCGCCACATTTGAAGCAGAGAAGACATCCTTCATCCACTTCACACGCATCGCGGAGCGTGACAGCGACCTGCCTCTCATCATCAAAGGAAACGATGTCAAGCCGAAGAGCAACGTGAAGCTGTTGGGAGTCATCATGGACAAAGCGCTTCGCTTCAGGAACACATCGCCAGAGCGGCCGCCAAGGGCTGGCCGCGGCCATGTGTTTGAAACGACTGAAGATGGCTTCGCCACGGATGGCGAGGCAACTGTTCGTCGCGACGGTGGCGCCAGCCATGGACTATGCCTCAAACGTGTGGTCGCACGCGTGCGGGGTGAAAGAAGCGGCGTGGATTGGCAGGGCCCAGCGAATCGGAGCCCAGGCTGTCACGGGAGGCTTCCGCACGGTGGCAACGGCAGTGGCCGAGGCCGAGGCCGGCGTGCAATCGTTCCGAGAACGGCATGCTCAAGCGGCAGCGAAATTCTGGATAAGGATGAGGACGCTCCCGAAGACGCATCCTCTGACATCGTTGAGACTCAAACTGAACAGGAGGTATGCGTCGCCAATGCAGAAGCTCGCCTCGGCGATGGGAAGAATAGATACCAAGCGCCTGGAAGTCATCCACGAGTTCGCACTGGCGCCGTGGGACGAACGAGTGCAGGCAACGTACGAGGCAGACCGAGTGGAGGTGCTGAAGTCGGATGACCCGGAGGACATCACTATTGCGACGTCCAGCTCGCAAAGGAAGGGCAAGGTCGGGTTGGGAGGCGTCGTTCGGGATGCTTCCCGCGACAGCGCAGACGAAGTGCTGGCCAGCTACTCCGTCACTCTCGGCTCCAGTGATGAGCAGAATGCCTACACAGCAGGACTCGAGGCAATCGCCACGGCCCTGAGGTGTGTACCTCTCGGTCTTCATGACCGAGATCTCACGGTTGTGACGAGCAACCGCTCTGTCCTGCAAGTCATCGGGCGGCCACGGCAACAGTCTGGTCAGTGCACGATACGGGCGATATACGGATCTGTTGAGTATCTGGCGAAGAGAGGCTGCAGAGTCAGACTTCGTTGGGTGCCTGCAAAGAATGAGGAGTTCACTCTAGGCCACTGGCCAAAATGCAAGCGAAAAGAGCGACGCGAGACGAGTGCATCGCCGAACCAGCAACGTTTCAAGCAAGATCAACGACGTTACGACTGCTGCTCAACGAACACGCTCGCGTTCGTCAGATCCCGGAAGGGTTGGAAAGCACTCAAAGCGCATCGATAAGGCATTGCCGGGTGTGACGGCCTAGCACCGTCACACCCCTTGCATACATGACCCACATGTTGTTGGGCCAACGGCCCACACGTACGGAAGGCATATTTAGGGAGAGGACACCCAGTTGTATTGTTCGGTTCTCCTTTCTCTTCTTCAGAGCAGAATCTTCGTAATAGAGTCCACAGCCTTCTGGCTCAGTCCGTGACCGTCACACCGGGCAAGCACACCCGCAAGTTGTACGACGAGCTAACAAGAAAGGAATCCGAAGTGTTGATACAACTTCGAACTGGCAAATCGCGGCTGAATAGCTACCTCTGCAAAATCGGGGCGGTGGAATCGGATGAGTGCACTTGTGGGCAGTCTGCAGAAACAGTGGAGCATTTCCTCTTTCGATGCAGAAGATGGACGGTACAACGAGAGACCATGCTGCGATATGCGCGCGGAAAGGGGAGACTTGTCTTTCTTCCTAGGAGGCAAGGCAGAGTCAGACGACGACAAGTGGCAACCTGATATTGGGGCTGTGCGTGCGACGATACAGTTCGCATTGGCGACAAAACGCTTCAGTATGGACCGTTAACGGGCCATGTACTGATCAAGAACAACCATACTAACACAACAGCCTTCAACTTGGCAGACCGCGCTTCAGTCGCTGAAGGTAGGACGCTGAACACTTGGAGAAACTGACCTTCAAGCAGGCCTGTCATGTCACAGCGAACGAGGCTGGAAACAGATGGAAAGAAGCGTTGGGCTTTGGGTGAGAAGAAACCATGTATAGTAGGTACGTAGCTTAGCGTAGTGGCTCTATGGGAACCCCGGGCGCAATACAACCAAAAAAAAATGTGTTTTGAGACAGTCTGGCCTACAGTCGCCCGTAGTTCGGATCCGCTTTGTGCGAAAATCCTCTCCGTATCCACCTCGAGTGCAGACCACCCATTTGACGCGTGGCATGGTCGAAGCAAGCGCAAGTAACATGAGCAAACGTGCCTTGTTAAATAAACCATTCAACTTATACCAGTCCAAGAATCACGCTTCCCAACCCTGGCAGCAACATCCGCAAGGGAAGAAGCATAAGGCGGCAAATCAGCCACACATAACTGTGTTTCCATAACTGCCAAATCCAAACCAGCCCCACTACTGCGATAAGGGCACGACCGGCCATGAGGTAGACTATAGGGACGGATATTGAAAGATTTGCCAAATAATGTCCCACCTTCCATATACTCTTCCTGTTGAAGAGGAAGGCTGTTCGAGATAGCAACGTTGGCAAGTCTAGGAGTAAAAGCCACATGATAATCCTTGAGACGGTGGCATAGCTGGATGAGCCAACTGTCGTTTCCTCGAACATGACCCCGTCAAAGCGAGACACCAAAGGCTCGTGGCCAATGCTAACTGGGGTATCTCCTTGTTTTAGTGTCTCGATGGACTTTTTAGAGGAAGTGCGTTCGGGCATCTTGGTTGAGAGGCTTCAAACTTCTTGGAAAGAATTAGGAACGGATGGATTTAAATATGCTGGGCACGTCGGCTGTACAAAAAGCATAATTCAGCGTGGCCAGAGATGGAGTGCGGGCGATTTCTGCTCCTCTGGAAAGGGTTAAAAGAAGCCAAGGGACTCTTCAAAACCGGCTTGATCATCGAACACCAGTACGTATGTGCAACATGACCGTACAATGCAAACCATCAGCAGTCGAACAGTCGAGCTCCACACGCAAGCGCAGGCGACGTCAGGCCCAGAGCAAATGCCGCGAAGCACTCGCGACACATATCTGTGCGTCTGCAGTGTCCGGTGATTTCATCCATACTTACAAGGACAAATCAGGGAACAACACAGGCCTTAATATTCCCCCGGGTAAGGTCCGACTAGTGCCTTCTAAAAACGATTCTTATTCTTGGACGTTTCATTCTGAGATAGCGTTTCTCTTTGCGAAGAATCTCAGTCGACACTCTATATCCGCTTGTCGTCAAATTGAAGAATTAGTTGGGCACAGATTCGAGGCTGTGCTTAGAACGCCATACATATCAGAGTTAGCGCCTCTGAATCCTTCTGATGATTCCTTACAGAGAGGAACAGAAGACGCTACGGTGTGCATGACGACATTTAAAGGGTCCCTGTTACTCAAGGATGACATACAAGCGGCTGCACCACTCGATGTGGACACTGAATTGGTCCGACTCAGAGATGAAGTGAGCGTTCTTGGCAATGAGCTTGCCGCTGTTTCCGGTCGCAATAAACAGCTAGAGGATCTTTTAGAGGACTCGTCTCGCAGGATTAGGACCGAAAAGGCCTCCCAGTTCAAGTACTCGCTTACTTTTGCTCATATTTCTCAACTCATAGAAGAGCTTCGGCAGACTAGCAGCGAAAGCTACGTGACATAATTCTTCCGATAATTAAAGAACATTGGAGACATTCTTACAAATTGCCTCGCATCCACCAATGGTGAGATAGCCAACATATTTGCCTGCTTCCCGATTTGAGACTGCCGCAATACTATAGCGTACTTCTTTCACGAAAAGAGAGCATGCAAGTGGGCATTGATTGTTTTAATAATAGGTGTGTTCTGTTGTATTCCGTTGTGTCTGTCCTCTTGCAATGCCCTCTTCTAGGCTCTCTATTTATATCCCTTGGTTCCCTATTGATATCCCCTTTTCAGTTGTATAGGCACAATATCTAGGGGGCTGGGATCCTTTCCCCAGCCCCCTCTTTGCATACTGACTTTCCCTAGTCGCTGAGGGCTCTTTCAGCTTCCCCGTATATGCAGTCTCTCTACAGCCTATGTGGCTGCCTAATGCGGTCTCCTAATAGCCTTCTGCAGCCTCAGAACTCTCTGCAGGCTGCCTTTCGATCTAGCCTGTCGGGGCCCTTAGCTGTATATCCCTTATTGTGGGAATTGTAGTAATCCATTGTACCCATCTAGATAGGTCACGTGCGCTCTCACGTGTGCAGTTGAGGATAGCGGAGGACACATAGCTAGCTCCGTGCCCTTTGCCCCCTCTTCCCCCTTTCTAGAACAGACATCAACGATTACACATACCATTGCGATTTGCACGCAGGCCTGTGTAGAGACCTACCGACACTGATCAGTGGTCGACTTGGTCGATCACAGACAGCTAGGAAGAAGAGACAAATCGCTAACCTTCAAGATCGGCTGCAAGGCATCGGTTGAGGAAGGTTATTTGTGCTAAGTGGCTATCTCAGGCTGCCAGGCATCTGGGAGAACCTACCAAGCTATTAATCGGCTGCAAGGCATCGATTAGTAGTGCGACCACATCGCCTAGCGACTTCTATTATCGGCTGCAAGGCATCGATCAACAGTTGTTACTAGACCCGACAAAGACGTATTTCGACAGCCAGATACGACTCCATCGTCTCATTCACTTGATCAACGATGACCCCGACCGACCGAGCTACGACTCCGAACGAGAGCGCTCAGCTCGAACAATTGAGCGAACGGATGCAAGGACTAGCTATCCAGACATCCGTATTCGATAAAGTTGATGTTACCCTTTGGGGACAAGACATCAAACCTGACGAGGAAGATGAGATCGCAGTTACGACGTACGCCGCTAGGTTCATGTCCAATGCCCAATTCGAACGCCTAGAAGGAGACGACATCCTGACCACTTCCAACAACACTTCGAAGGCTGGAACCAAGACATATGGAACCGGGTACATATGGACTACAAGAGAGCCCTTAGATTACTTCTAAGGAGACGTGGCATCTATACAGGACGGAAAAATGGCCCTTTGCACCCCAATTCATCATGTTGCAAACTGTGGAGGACCGACCTGCATGGCCAGAACGAGTACATGGAGATGGATTTTGACATTGGGACGACCGCTTATAAGTTACGAGCAACAGGATCAAATGCCTAACTTCTCCCGAGAACCCCAATCGCCACCGGTAGCAACACCCGTTACAGTCTTAACGAACAACAGCCCATTAAGACCTTAACGAAGCCACCTGCCCAGGAACCCATCACTGAGGCACTACCGATAACAACATCACCTCCCACGACTTCCGCTCTGACCCAAGATGCACCTAACTTGAACTCTCGTACAGCCCATCCGACAACCCACCGCTTCAAGCACCCCGAACTCGTCCAATCCGCCCAAAACCCCCCACCTAAACCTCCGTCCGAGCATATGCATCTCGACGCATATACAAAACTTCCCCCGGATGATACCCCGAATGCCACTGTTGACGCAGATACCCAATATATGTTCATGAAGCTCTGGGATAAGGACCAGAACTACACAGGAGAGCCGTACGACCTCCTCGATGAGAAACTCGAATCTTCATGAGTATCTGCTACAACATCCAAGTGAAACCGTCACAATTTCACGCCCTTTTCCCCCGAATCCTCGCTGGAAGAGCACAAACGTTCTACATTAACAAGATCGAATGGACTACCACGTTTAGGAAGGCATACGACAGCATCAAACAACACTTTGACACGGAAGTTAACCATGTCCATTACTATACAGATTGGACCACAACCACTTTCAACTCGATTCGTGCCCAAGATGCTTCCAAATCCTCCACGAAGTCCTTCAACTACTCTTCGATAAGCTACAACTCTGTCAGAGAGCCCTTGGCCCTGACTACGCAGGAAACATTCCACTGCGTACTACGCTTATCATCGCATGCCGTGGTGTACCCGAACTTGAACACGCCCTCTTCAAACCTGCAGCAAAGATCGAGACCCTCTTTGCAGATCTACGATCTTCCGTTGAGACCCACCCAGGGTGGTTTTCCATATATGGAAAGGTGTGCAATCCATACTGGAGTATCGCCCCACATTTATTGCAAGTATTGCAATACACCTTTCCATTCTTGGTCCGTGCGCATCCCGCAACAGCTCACCTATATGGTCTCGGCAAAACGTGCCAAACACGACATGAATCAATGAAAAATCAAGGAACAGTTAACGTGAACGTAATGACAGACGACCGGTTAAGGGGATGCCAAGCAGAAATTTGCTCCTTTTGCAGGAAACAGGCGTAGAAGTTGAGCCAGGATTTTACCCAAAATCTGGGGACCCGCCACCACCCTCGGCCCCTTGCAAGATATCGTTCTTGAGCCAATGCTTTAAGCATTCTCCCTTTTCGACTTGTTTCGCGTCCAATTGGGCTCTTTCCCATGAGATTGTGCGACGCGCCCTGAGAACACCCGCTCAGGTTCATCACTCATCGCCGGCATTGATAGGATGTCTATGGCCATTTGTGATAGCTTGTGCCATCGTTTTCTCTGTTGCTCTTGAAGCCACCATGACAAGGCCGTCGTCGGCGTAATGTCGTACGGATCACATGAAATGTAATCTTCGTACTCGTCCTGGCTTGACGGTCGAGTGCAATTCTGCAGGTTCCTTGAAATGCGATCAAACGCGTCAAGGTCCTCGTCATCATCGTCATCTAGTAAATGTTGCGAGAGGGCGCCATCCACAGTGTCTCGGTATGTGAGCCAAAGGTCTTTGACCTGTTTGAACGCAGGTTTTGCCACTTCTTCTTCCAATTTGCCTGGATGTATGTTGTGCGATAGCTGGGATGAAGGATCAAGGCAGCTGCATAATAGGGCGATGTAACGGGCAAGCCGCTTTAACGGCGGCTGCGCCGCCTAGCTTCTAGAACCTTCCATTGGCTCGAAGCTATAAAATGCTATTGTGCTCTCATGTAGTAGATTCTCTTTCTTTCTTTCTTTCTTCTCTATCTTGATAGTAAACAGCATAGGGACTAGTTAGTTGTATCAACTCACTAGAGGCCTTTCACAGGCGATGCTTCTGTCTTGCTATAATATTTGTCAAAGACTTCCCACCCTCGTTTGATCCTAAAGGACAGCTCGGTGTCTGATTTGTACGAGACCTATTGCACCATCTCAGCGCTTGCACAAGGAGATCAGAGGAATGGAAGGCATGGTACCAGGGCTTCATCAAAGCATCGGATCAAGACGTCCATCGTGAAGAGCACTTTGTCCAGGGTCGCATGATCCTTGTGTTGCTAATGTCGCTCGGGCGAACGGTTGAAGGATCTTCTCAATTATTCGGAGCCGGGCCCAATCTTCCGGCAATAGAAAATCTGCAGAAAGATCTTCGAAATGATTCTTGGTGTAGGTGTCCAGAGCGCTGGCAGTTTCCTGCTGAGTGGCAACATGCAGCATTTGATACCAGCTATTCCACCTCGTACGATTGTCAAGTGGAATGCCCTCTCAGCGAGTTCCATAAACTCTCCACTGCGTCCTGATGAACTCCGGATGTTGACAACCAGGTTGTGGAGCTTACCAAGTGGTCCAAGGCGGCGAAATTCGGTGCGCTGCCTTTGAACTTTGCCAGGTCATCTGCGTCTTCGCATATTTCGCCCTCTTTCAAGTCAATAGAATTCTGGAACAGGAAAGCTTGAACTGCCAAGTTGATAACGTGGCCTAGGCATCGGAGGCGGTGAACTTCAGGATCCCATTTGACGCCCTCTTCCTTGAGATACGTGCTCACTGCCCGGCAGAGGTGTCATTCGTGCTCGAATTATCCCCAACGATGCTTCCAAGGCGTCGCAGAATACCAAAGTCCCGCAAGATGGGAAGAAGTGTAACGAATTGCTCCTCCCGGAATGGTTCGCCACAGGCCGAAGTGCAAGGAGAGCTTTCCGTCGTGCTTCTTGTGCGTGGTCAACAAAGTGGGAGCAAACTCCGAGAAGAAGGAGCCGATTGGGGGACGTCCAAATGTCAAGCGAGAGGTGAACCTTGGATTTTGCTGACTGGAGCTTCATTCGCACGATATCCTTGGCCGACTGGAAATGATTGTCGATAATTCGTGGAATAGTCGAGTGGGCGGAAGGAGATAGTCCTTCGCGACCGGGTTCAAGGTCGAAATGAAGAGGTGAAATTCGCGGGATTCGACAATTCGATAAGGAAGGTTTCGTGCGACGATCAGCAAAGCTAAGGCTTTGTTTATCTTGTCTTGGTCCAGGTAGCGTTTGAAGACCTCCGACTCAATCTCCGTTGTGCGGCCCAAGTCCCGTGCTTGCTGGTAGAGTTGCTCAACCCCTCAAAGATGGACGATTGAAGAGGAGTCAAATCTTCCACGACTCGAATATCGTGCTTTCCCTCCAGATGTTTTCGAAAGTTAGTGGTAACTGAAGTTCTGTACGGGTTTGTCTGGGGACAATGACTGCAATAGAGAAGGCGATTTCGGCCCTTAAACTCTTCCTCCCCCTCTGCTGCAACGCGAGCATGCTTCCACGTTGCGATAGCCGCTTTGCCTCTTGTATTGCGAGATCTTGATGTCGTAGAGTCCGACAAAATAGATTCAGCATCGAAGAAGGATAACGTACTTGCAGTATCCATAGTTCGACAACTGACTCGTCCGACGCGTTGGTGCAAAATGGTGGGAAAGCGATTTGTGTTTGTGTGGGAATTAGCGGTGTTCAAGGCCCTCAGACCCCTGGACGATGGCGCTGTAGGGGTCCCGGTCAGTGGCGCAATTTGGCCAATTATCGACTGAGTATTGAAATACTATGGATCCATATCCATACCCTGTCCATGCCATAGTATGGAAAGGGTATTTCCATACTTGGGTATGGAAAACCACCCTGGACCCACCTTGCCCGACAGACAAACCCTCAGTACTTGCAAAGCCCTGACGGATCATTTGGACCAACGAATCCGAACAATCAGTACTACCTCGATCGCCGATACCATAACAACCGCGTACGAGGAAGATACGGATACTCAGGACAACGACCCAATCGCGGATATGGACAAGGCTACAACCGTGGAAGCTACAGGCCCTCAAGCCATAGCAACTACACTAGCCACACCAATCGCAATTGGACCAAAAGTGCTTTGTTTGTGGACAAGAAGGTTGCTGGTCAACCAAACACTCTGCAGAAGAACGACAAGAGGCCAAGGACCAATATGTCGCACATTGTCAATTCACAGGCATACAACCTCCAAACTTCATAGCCTATCTTATAGACTACGAAGGTCATGAGCTTGATGAACTCACTACCGACGACATATGGGAAGAACCTGACAATGGCACCAACAATCACCCTAGACAATGGAGAAGTCTACCGGACGGATCAAACCATTGTTCCCGCCTAGCAATTCGTCATTGAAGATCAATATTCAGTGGACAATTTCCCAGGCATCATGATTGACACAGGTGCAGCAAAGTCTCTACAGCCGGTCACTCTCAGTACATTGCTCTACAACGAGAAGACCCTCTGTAGCCCTAGACAGCTCAACCTCCGGCCAGGCTACCATCACATTTGGACACGGCGAAGCCACTCACTCGATTGGTTCCATCGCCCTCAAAACACCAGTCGGAAGGATCACGTTCCACATCCTTCAGACCCCTACCCAGGAAGAAGAAGAACCCCCAGACCGGCATGAAACCCCACAAGAGAGGACGCCCGCCCGGATCAAAGAACAAGCCCCAGCCCGCAGCACACGGAGCCTCGAGGACCGGCCGGCACACAAGAGCAAATAACAATATGTGCCTGTAGTCCCTAGAGGAGCCATATGCCCACAAAGAAGAAAAGCTCGAGGAAGCACAATTTCGAGCCAAGCCAAAGACCTCGATGACCACAAGTACAACGGTTGACTCCAACGCATTTGATTAGCACCAGCGCTACGTTCAAGCATCAGCGCTACGTTCAAGGTATACACAATCAAACAGTTCCTGTCACCGACAAGTCTTCCAAATCTTCTTCGACTGTTCACCTCTTTGACCCCAATACACTCTTTTCCCCTCTTTTCATTATGGCCCCACTTTTTGGGCCTGTTGACATTTGCCACCACTGCAGCTGGTCTCTCCTCTCTTTCCCTGCTCGTTACAGCGATTGCAACCACAAAGAAAAGTTGCCAGTGTGGGAATTGTAGTAATCCATTGTACCCATCTAGATAGGTCACGTGCGCTCTCACGTGTGCAGTTGAGGATAGCGGAGGACACATAGCTAGCTCCGTGCCCTTTGCCCCCTCTTCCCCCTTTCTAGAACAGACATCAACGATTACACATACCATTGCGATTTGCACGCAGGCCTGTGTAGAGACCTACCGACACTTATGGTCACCTCGAGCTCAAGATCTCAGACGTGCTTCGCGACACGTGGTGCGCCGAATTCCCGAGCAACCGTGGCCACCTTAGCACCAGAAAAATGTTCAATATATCGAAGAGCTTCTTGAATACGGGCTTCCATTTCGGCAAGTCAAAAGAATGTGACCTGGTTGAAGTGCAGGGGGTTGAAGTTGGACGGAGAAAAATTTGGCTATTGCGGTATACTGGCTAATGCGGTGTCCAGCACCAGCTTATGCAATGCAATGCAATTTATTCCGCCCGGAGGGACCAACCCTAGAGGGCCGCGACACTAAGCTATTTACATATCCTCCACTTTCGACTGCAACACCCAGAAGCCCCACATTTTGCTCCTATCCGTACATTTCAGCCTCCAATTTCGCCGTTGACAGGCCTGCTTGAAGGCCCATTTCTCCAAGTGTTCAGCATCCTATTCTCAGCAGCGGAAGCCCGGTCTGTCAATGAGAGGCTGTATGGTGCTAGTACTGTGCACTCTGGTTTGCTAGTACTGTCATCTGTTGTTGCTTTGATATGATCTCGTTTTGCGCATCTATCGCTCGGCTGAGCTTTGCGTTTCTTGACGTGACTCGCTCAAGAGTTCGAGAACTTTCTGGAGCATGGCTCGGCCTTCGTTCGCGCCACTGCTGCTGCTGGCAACTTTGCGCCGCTCAGTCGCGTCACTGATGGCGACATCGTCCGAGGCAATGCGCGTTGCAAGCCTAGTTGCGCGTGTTGTCTTCTCCGCCAGATCGTCGGGCTGTCGCGCGGCTTCTCGAATTTTGGTGCTTGGCCTCACGACGCGTGTCGATCTTTTCGCGGGTGTCGACGCAGGCGACGCGCTTCGCCCCACCATGATCACGGCCTCAGCCGGCGTCTCCATGATGAGGCCCCTCAATGCCTAGCTGGCCGTTTTCTTGGTATTTGCAAAGGTGATCTTGGGTACCATTGAAGCCTCGGTTCTCTGCGTCTGTGTCGTCAATTCTCTTATGGAGCTGGTGTAGAAACGAACGCGAAATAAGTGGAGCGTGGCACGGGTACACGGTCTTAGCACACACATGGCTGCAGCACATACCGTTCCAAGAAACAAATGATCGCAGCACACACAGACCCAGGACAGAGATAACACTAGGACACATATGGTCCCAGGACACATACGGTCCCAGGACGAATATGGCTTCAGCACACACGGTCCTGGGACCGATATGACCGCAACACACAGGGTGGCAAACCACTCAATCCAGCAACGGTTGCTCAATATAGTTGAGCAACCGTCAACTCAATCAACTCAATCGAGTGTCTGCTGAATAAGCTTGTCAATTCAATTCATGCTCCCGTTGATTGATGGATTGATGAGATTGCCGTTGACGGTCAGGGATCCTGTAGGGTAGGTGGCCAAGGCGAAATGTAGGTACGGATTGGGTATATAGCTACCACTAACCTTACAGGTTACTCAGGCCCGTTGTAGGTAAGCCTGCTCTCCTCTTCGGGGAACAGGGCCCCCTGTTCCGTTGGAAGAGTCGACGCGCTGCGCGCATCGACGCGCTTCACAACAAAGTTCAATCTCTCGCCTCAGTTCCACTTACACTTCTCGATTCTTCCACAACGCCTTGGCTGATCTAAACATTCCTATATGCAATGAGCGAATCTCCTGAGCCTTCTTCTACTCCCTTGCCGCCATCAGGCGATTCAGGCGACTCAGGCCCCGTTCCCCATCTCGAGTGGGATGCCTTCCCTGGCATCACTTCCGCGGCTATACCAAGTCTCAACGCGCCGGCAAGCTCAAATCGTGGATCTGGAGCTTTGGGTTCGACATTGAACGTCAAGCTAACGTAGATAATCGCCTCTGGGTCTGTGAGCGGTGTTTACCGAAGAAATCGCCGAAGGGACCCGTGAGCTTCGCGGCAAGGGACCCTAAACATTGAGCGCCATCTACATGATGCTCACAATGTTATTGACCCATCAGGTAGACGGTTACCGAAGGGTTCTACAACCAACAAGCGTTCTATTGCCCAATTCTTCAACCTCGATGCCAATGACCAGAAGGAGCAAGCATTCATTAACAAGCTAAAAAACCAATTCGATAAAGATGTCTTCCAATCTCTCTTGCTTGCTTGGATCACCGAGTCGAATGTTGCCTTCCGCGCAGTTGAAGCCCCTCGATTCCGGCGTCTTCTCGAATACCTCAATCCCTCGATCGCCCTGACTCAAGCCCACATGACACACTCGACTATTCGAACGAAGCTTTTCCAAGAATACCACCAGTACAAGCATATTGTGATAAAGGAACTGAGGAGCGCCCGGGCAGATACACCTTGCGTTTGACGGCTGGAGATCGCCCAATCGCTATGCGCTTAATGGGATTGCTGCGTTCTATCTCTCTAAGGAAAAGCGGCCACAGAAGATCATCCTTGGGCTCCTGAACTCCGAGAGTCTCATACTGGCGAGAATATAGCGTCGCAGGTGGCGGAAGTGATCGAATCATTCGAGATTCAAGACAAGATCGGGTATTTCACGCTTGACAATGCGAAGAATAACGATACGGCGGTAGCAGCACTGGGGCACGGTTTTTATTTTTAAGGGGAGCAGAGACGGGGCCGCTGCTTTGGGCATATCATCAATCTCGTGGCCAAAGCGCTGCTCTTTGGCAAAGATAATGAAGTCTTCAAATCAGAAGAGCGACTCGACCTGGAC